ACACCCAGCAGCGCTGCTGATGCCTGAACGGTATGTGGAATGAAGTGGGCGGGCATCGGGAGGCCACTATGGCACGGGGCAAGCACTATGGGCAGTCTATCTGAAGTGTACCTGGCGTATAAGACGACCCCCCACTTGGAGGCATATTTTTCAGGGCCAAAAAATCATCTTATACGCCGGCAAATACGGTATGTGACATTCTGGAAAAGGCAATACTATGGAGACAATAAAAATGAGTGGTTAGCAGGGGCGAGGGGAGGAGGGATGGGCAGGCAGAGCACAGTATGTTCAGGGCAGGGAAACCATTTGTGATGCTATAATGATGTCATCATACATTTGTCTAAACCCATAGAATGTGCAACACCGTGACCCCTCACTCACACCGTGGACTCTGGGTGACGAGGTGTCAGTGCAGGCTCCTCGGTTGTAACAAATGTCCCATTGGGGGGATGCTGATGGAGGGAGGCTGTGCCTGTGTGGAGCTGGGGCCACATGAGAAATTTCTATACACTCCCCTCTATTTTGCCGTGAACCTTCTCTAAAATACGTAGTATAAAATCTTAATAAAAAAATTCTATGCTGTATAAAGTGTAACCCACCGATTCTACCTGCCTGTGAAGAGAAATCCTCACAGTGTGCATGGAATACCTGTTTACGTATTTAAATATTATTCATAAGAGAGGCAAATTTGAAGGGCATAATTATAGCATCAAGAACCGTCCCTTCCAGCTAGGTTAGAGGCCGTGGCTGCTGAAGCTGGCGTAGGTGGGCCCTTACTGAGGAGTTTGTGAGGTACGGTCAGCTGACGAGCAGATGAGGTCGCGGCGAGGAGCCGAGCCCTGAGGAATTGCTGTCATCGCGCCTGCTGCTGAGTCGCGCCCGGAGATTCTTGGATTAATGATCTGTCATTTTCTGTAAACACGCATCTCCGACCCATGAACCCACAGTATTGCATGAAAATTCCATTAAGTAGGGAATGCATTTCATGTGTGTTGATATCGTCTCTAAAAATAGCAAGGGGCCAGTTAAAAAATGCAGGGGTTCCGACCACCATTGACAGAATACATTCCTTTTTCCATCAGTCAGGTTACATGAGCCCAGATGTGGGTCGGCATGGAGGGGCTGAGCAGACGGAGCATGCGGCCTGTCCAGCTGGCCTCCCCACCCAGGAACCTGCAAGTGTGGCTTCTTCATTTAGGACGTGGCCACTGTGAACTGAGAACATGGAATCTCTCCAAACATCCATGTAAGCCCGCGTCCAAACCTCAGGATCTCATGCTCCGTAAAGCCCGACTTTAGCTCACACTTAGCAAACCAATGGATACCCTAACTTCTGTTAACCAGTTAACTACCACACGTCCAAAACGGAAACCATCCCCGCACGCCACGATATTTTGAATTTAATTAAAAAAATCAATTTGCAATGAATATTATGAAAATAAATATATTACAATTCGGGTGTTCTTGAATATTTTCAGCTGAAAATTCTCATGAAAAATGACTTTAAAGTTGGTCAGCGCTGCCACTTAGGGAAAACGTTTTTCTTTTTTAATAGATGCACGTGGCATGTGGGGAAGGTCCGTCGCTTGCATCTTCAGACGCTCATGGCGTACAATGGGTTAAATTTTACACTTCTCAGCTTCTCTATGAAAACCCACGAGCCCGCCCTGACCTGACCGGTTTGTCTCAGTGGATAGAGCATCAGCCTGCGGGCTGAAAGGTCCCAGGTTCGATTCCGGTCAAGGGCATGTACCTTGGTTGTGGGCACATCCCCAGTAGGGGGTGTGCAGGAGGGAGCTGATCGATGTTTCTCTCTCACCGATGTTTCTAACTCTCCATTCCTCTCTGTAAAAAGACAATTAAAATATATTAAAAAAAAAAGACCCATGAGCCCTTAAAAACATAGGTTTGGGTGGGATCCAGGACTTCAGGATGAGGAAAGAATTCAGTGGCTGCCCTGGAAGAGAACTCAGAAAACAAACTCAGGATGGGGGTTTCGGTGCTTTTGAACTTAACTCCGGGCTGTCCTTGGAATTAAGGCAGAGACAGAGCACAGCTTCCCGAACATGCAAAGGAAAGCATCTATAAAGAGACCTGGAGTCAAAGCACGCTGAACACAAACCCAGTCAGTTTGACTGACCTAGAATGTGGCATATTACAAATTATGAGGAACATTTTCAGGGAAACACAAAGTAATAAAAAGACAAGGCCACAAAACACTGTGTAAACTAAAGCCAATTATTACGTTTCCTGTGCCAGCGCCTTTACTTGTGACGTTAAAACAGCAGCCACAGGGAACCCGGGAAAGTGAGAGAACCCTTCTGATCTGAAATGAGGAACGTTATAAGACAGCTGAGAGAGAGAAACAAAGACACCATGGTTAGCATAATAGCCTTTACATTTATTAGCCTGCATTAATTCTGTGTGCCACTGGAAATGTTTATCTTTCCAAAGGTGTCATAAAAATAAAATATTTAGGAAAGAGTTTTATCATGCCTGGCCATGATCTTGACATAAAATCTACAATCAGCATTCTGTATCTATCTATATCTATATCTATATCTATATCTATCTATATCTATATCTATATCTATATATCTCTATCTCTATCTCTATGTAGATAGAGATAGAGATAGATCTATATATATCTATATATCTATATCTATATATATATATGCCCTTTAAAATGAGAAATGTTTCTTCTATTTATTTTTTAAATGAAGGATAGTATTTTTCATGGAGATTTCTTCTGGGTCTTGGTTGATTAAACATCATAGAATAAAATATTTTTAGATGAATAACTTTAACATAGCTAATTCATAATTAATACTATCATTAACATATCTCAAATGTACTAGACCACTGGAGACCTTTTTTCAATAAAAGTTACTATGGGTTTAGATAATTAAGTTCTCCTTTAAGAATAAAAATTATAACATCTCTGTAATTTTAATAACTTCTAATTTTCCTATGGCAAAAAGTAAGATTCCTTTTTCCAAAGGTAAAAATTCCCAACGCTGTGCATCGGGCAGCAGGCAACGTCCTATTTGCTTCCTGCTGGTTCATGGGGCCGTTTCTTGAACTCAGCAACCTGGATGACAGGTGTCCTGGGACCCGGTACAGGTGGGCTCTGGGGACCTGGGGTTTTTAGGAGGCAGGTCTTTTTCGGCGCCTTATCTTGTCCTTCCAACAAGGCTGTGCGTGTGCAGCAGCCCCCCCCCCCTCCCGCTTCCTGTCCTGCTGTGGTCCCTCCACATCCATCTCATCGTCCCATCCCCCATGTCCAGGCTGGTCTCCCAGGAATCTGCTCTCCCGCCTTCCTTCTCTGAAGCTGTGCAGCCACCGACTCAGAAGTCCTTTCTCTAGGGGAGTCCCTCCTTTTCCAGGAATAAAAACACCTCCTCCCACCCCTGTGCTGCACACTTACATTTTTTATCTTGTTATGACACACACCGCAGCCCATCCATAAAAATAAATTTACCTCCACAGGGGACATTTAGAAATTGACAAGGACTCTATAAGGCAGGCAGGTTTACTAAAACTTGAAAGAGTACATAGAGTATTTGCAAGAAGATGAGTGGGAAAGTGACAGCAAGACAATGTGCAACGCTGTGTGACAATTTCCCTGTGGCATCCGAGAGCTATTTACCATGTGGGCACAGGTGAGCTCGTGAGGCCACCAGGGGGCTCCCAGGTTGCACTCGTACGGGGTGGATTCTTATGCTCAAACTTGATTAAATTCCACGGGTTCACACACAGCGACTGATGCAGGACAGGCAGGAGCCGAGGGACCACACACAGCTCGGAACCGCACAGACTTGGGAAATAGCAAATAAGGTATTGGAAATAACTGAGATGAGTATATTAAGGCCTCTCATAAAAAGGGCAACATTCAAGAACAGATCAGTGATATAAGCAGAGATGGAAACTAAGAAAGAAAAGGAAGGAACTGCTTAAATCAAAAACTCTCTAATGTAAGGGAAACCTTCGATAGCTCATGTGATTAAATTCCATAAAATATTCATTGTCTTATAGACTTGAATGTCAGTTATTTTTTAAATATATTTTAATTGATTTTAGAGAGAGGAAGAAAGAGGGAGAGTGAGAGATGGAACACCAATGATAGAGAAACATCGATCAGCTGCCTCCTGCATGCCCCCTACTGGGGATCAAGCCTGCAACTAAGCTACATGCCCTTGACTACAATCGAACCTGGTACCCTTCAGTCTGAGGGCCAACACTCTATCCACTGAGCCATATTGGTTAGGGCTAAATGTCAGTTAATTTTAACACAATTACCTACCTCCATAGCTTTTATTTCTTCCAATATGTGTTTCATGTGGGGTCTGCTTAAAGAAGGTCATTTTTATTTCTTTTCATTAAAGCCTGATTATGATATTCTCTCACTTTTTGTATGTCTATAATGGGCTTGTTCTTTTTTAAAAGCCATATATATATATACACACACACATACGTACACATATTTTTATTGATTTCTGAGAGGAAGGGAGAGGGAAAGAAACACCAATGATGAAAGAGAATCACTGATCGGCTGCCTCCTGCACACCCCATACTGGGGATCAAGCCCGCAACCTGGGCACGTGCCTTTGACCCGGGAATCGAACCCGGGACCCTTCAGGTGGCAGGCCGACGCTCCATCCACTGAGCGAAACCAACTGGGCTGGCCTTGATCTTTCCTGGTAAGTTTCAGGTTTCCAGAGGGTGGAGTTCAAGGTCAGTAGCTATTTCTCTCAGCACTTTACAAATGTGATTCCATGGTCCTGGATTCTGAGATTACAGCTGGGAAAGCAGTGTCTCGATTCTGTGAAATGTGCCTTAAAAATGACCTCTGTTGCACTTCCCACTATAAATAGCTTACTTCTCTTTTCATTCCTGTGCTGTAGTGCACCTGAGATTAGTTTTTTCTTTATTTATGCTCCCCAGGTTTTATTGCTCATCTGAATCTTTGGCTTGGTAGGATATATTGTTTTGAAAAATTGGTATATTTTCTTTAAGTATGACTTGGCCCTTTTTCCCTTTTCTCTCTCAGACTCCAAACACAGTTTGTTCTTCCGTGATTTATTATATTACTTTATCACCCTTTCATCTTTCATATTCTTCTTGACCAATGTGTTGAGACTGAATGTTTTCTTCTGATTTAACTGCCAGTGCACAAATCTCACCTGTCATCAAATGCTCCCTTCAACTCACCTGTAAGAGCCTGCAGGTTCTTAATTTTAGAAATTGTTTTCACCAGAATTTCCAAATTTTATTCTCTGCAGTTAAAATTCTCCATCTTGTCAACTAACCTCTTGGAAGTATTTTATTTTTTCTAAATCAGTGTCCGGTAACCAGCGTCCAAAGCCCCCGCCGTTTGATTGCAGTCCTGGTTAAATTTGTTTTTAAGCCATGAATGTTGTCTCCTGTGTGTTTGCAAACATCTGAGAAACATACAATCCTATATAATAAAAGAGTAGTATGCAAACTGTCCCCTTAACTGGGAGTTGTCCGGGAGTTCAACCAGGGGGTGGGGCCGGCCGGGGGGCGGAGGAGGAAGTAGGGACCCTGCCAGTGCACACATTTCGTGTGCTAGGCCTCTAGGGTATATAAATAATGTTAGAGAAAATTTGGGACTCTGGGTGGCATCGTCTTTCCCCAAAGAGGAGTCACTTGTGACCAGCGGATGGCTGGTCAGAGGCGGGTTGTGGGCTGAGGTTGGTCTACAGTGCTGCCGTCTTTGCATGCGACCTGCTCTCCTTCCTGGTCATTTGACATCTGGGGCGCATCCGGTACCCTTCATTAGTGGGTCCTGAGTTCAAATTTGTGTCCCTTCAGGTTCTGAAGATTTAAAAATTATTTTCAGAATTTCTCAACCACTTTGATTATGTTTCACTCAGCTTCTCCTGGTACGTGATCAAAATCACGAAAGAGCAGCTCCCATCTGTCCTGCTCCATTTTCCCTTCTTTGGGGGAGCGTCCTCACTGCCTTTCCGTTCTCTGGCATCTGTCAGTTTTGGCTTCCGCACTGTGTTTCATGCAGGTTCCCAGGTGTTTTGTCTGCAGTGAGCAGTGGAAGTCCTCCTCAGCTCTGCATGCCCTCTGGTTAGGAAAAGCCTCCGGGGACAGCGATGTGGGTGGGACCGCGGCAGGACAGGAGCAGACCTCCCCAGGCACCTGGAGCTGCTCTGCAGCCCCTCCTTCCATGCACAGCTGCCTGTCAGCCGATGGAGCCACCTGTCAGTGATGGGCAGTATGCAGGGCACCTGTTGTGCCACCACTTCCTCTTGCTCATGTGCTGCTCTCTCTACAGAGATCACGACATGGGTCCAGGATTTACACAGATGTGTCCTTGGTTTCCTGCATCTACTGTTCCTCCAAGGATGGCAATGCCAAACAGACGAGTCCTATCTGCAATCCTGTGCACACCCCTGTGCACACCCTTCGCCATGGCTCCTTGTCGCAGACCCTGGACAGCGCCTATCTGTGAGTCACGTCATTGCAGACACAGTCACTGCTCTCCAGCCTGGAACCCCCCTCACCGGCTGGAGAGGCGAGTGTGCAGCTTCGGGAGGAGCTGGGACCCATGTGTTCCTGCTCAGCCCCAACGGGAGCCCAAGTGCCCCAGACAACCCCTCTCCACGTTTCCCTGACGGTAGAAGATGGCAAGTAAAAAAGAATTCTTATAAAATGCTGAATATTTTTTGTGATAGATTTCCAAGGCAAAAAATAGAAACTGTATTAGAAAAGTGGTCCTGGCAAGAGGAAAGATCCAATTCTAAGCACCTGTCAACATTCTGAATTGCCTTTGATTTTATGCCTGAGGGAGTTTAAAATAGCCACACAAACCTCAGTGAAAAGCAAGTGTATAAGTGAAATAAAATAAGAAATTCTACTACTGTATAAATAATTGGAATTCCATTACATAATAGATTAGAGAGAAGAAAGTGCAGATTCCTTAATATAAACAGAGGTGCTTATGCAGGGTGTGCTCGTCCTGGGCAAGGACGGAGAACAACGTGAAGCTACTGCTACAGGTCAAGCTCCCATGGAACAGTTCGATGCAGCCTCTTTTAAAAACAAATGCTCTCCATGGCTGTGGAGATTTTGTTAGGATGGCTACACTCTTAAAAGGATGAAACTGACGTTGGTGTAAATAGACAGGATGAAGGAAATAAAGTATATGCTCTCATAAGTTCTATTGGACAGAGTAATTCTTAAATCAAGAGAATTTCTTAACCTCATGCCTATGTTGTTCAGTGTTAGACAATCTTGGTAAAGGTAATTATTAAGTTACATTAAACAGCTTGTAGTGAAAGAAATCGCAGGAGAGAAACACAATAGGAACATACTTGATGAAAAGGAGGCTGGACTTCTTGTACGGTGGGACAGCGATGAGACACTGTGCACCCAGGGCCAGCCTTCTGCCCTCACCACGCCACACCCCTCGCTGGGGTCTCTGGATGCTTTCCTCGGGACTCTGTGAACGAAGACGGTTTCCACAGACAGAACCGTGTCCTGTGTGTGTCTGTCTCCTTTACAGAAAGAGAAACCTGAACCTGACAAGTTAAAAAATCAAGAAATTTACATCTTCCATAAAAGATCTATTTATCAGGCAAACGCAATCTCCAGTCAGAGAAGACTTGTGTAAACAGCTGGTTGGTTTAATAGAGCAGAAACATCCATATTAGGAAAAGTAATCTGAGCTGCACAGCCACACTGATTGGGCCTGAACCGGCTGTAGATTCTCAGACAAAATGTTTCTGGCCTTTAAACCTTTTCAAGATGCAATATTCAATGCGCAATGCAGTGCAGAAAGGCGGGCTATGACACCTCCCAGAGTGAAATACAAGCGCTGTGTTGCTGTCCATGGCTGACGCACACTTCTACCTGAGCAGGACGGGAGTGGGAAGCAGAAGGAATGTTGCCTGTGCATTAAAAAGAAGAGGGCCCGGGGAGAGATGGGTTGGGACGTTATAGAAGTAGTAATAGTTCTCACTTATTAAGCAAAAGCATTCACTCGGCACAAAGCACGGCCTTTAGGGCATATTATCACAAATCCTAGAAACCACGCATCAGAAAGGCATTATTAGCCACTTTTACACACAATAAACTAAGACTTGGGCAATTAAAAAACAATAACCAACCCCCAGGCCACGCTGCTGTGAGGGAAATCGTTCATGTTCAAATCCAGCTTTCTCTCATCTAAAATCCGTTTTCCCAGAGCCGCCTTCCAAACACGTGCTGGAAACTGTCCTCAGCACCTGTGCTCAGCTCCTCCACTGATAACATAGTGTTACTGACTCAATGTCCCCGAAGAAGACAGGGACTACACTTGTTCCCCCGAACTCTTCTTTCTCCTTTGGCATGAAAGGCCTTTGTCTAGGAACAGGAAGTTTTGCAGTCACAGCATTTGATTATGTGTAGTCCTCGGGGCCTCTATACAAATACTAGAGGCCTGGTGCACGGATTCGTGCACTGGTGGGGTCCCCCCAGGCATGGCCTGCGGGGATTGGGCCAAAACTGGCAGTCCAACGCCGCCTGCCCTCCTGCTCATCCTGGCTCCACTGTGCCTGCTGCGGGCTCATGCCCAGTCAGTCCCGATTGCGAGAGGCCTGCGCCACTGCCCTGCGTCTGGTGCCCGTGGGTCAGCTGAGCAGCGCTCCTGATGTGGGAGTGCACTGGCCACCAGAGAGCAGCTCCTGCCTTGAGCGTCTGCCCCCAGTGGTCAATGTGTGTCATAGTGACCGGTCGTTCAGGCTTTTTTATATACAGACTAGAGGTCCAAGGCATGAATTCATGCACGGGTGGGGTCCCTCAGGGTGGCCTACAGGGATCGGGCCCCAGCTCATGCCCCCAGCCTCACAGCCCTGCAGCCCGCCTGGCACCCCACCA